CGCACTTTTGCACGGAAACGTTAGTCCTGGACGACAAAATATCTCCAAAATTCAGTGACGCATAAAACTGAATTCTGGGCAGATTATTAATCAATAAAAATAGAAAAAAAAGACAGAAGATTTAGACAAAATATTGTTTTTCTCTTCCTCAACAGTGTCTTGTGCAAAAACCGAGAAAAATTGGGGGATAGGCTGCAGTTGCACTCCAAACAGATCATTTGCATCACAATTGCACAGAAATGTCAGTCCTGGACGACAAAATATCTCCAAAATTCAGTGACGCATTAAATTGAATTCTAGCCAGATTATTAATCATTAGAAATAGAAAAATAAGACAGAAGATTTTGACAAAATATTGTTTTTCTCTTCCTCAACAGTGTCTTGTGCAAAAACCGAGAAAAATTGGGGGATAGGCTGCAGTTGCCGCACTTTTGCACAGAAACGTTAGTCCTGGACGACAAAATATCTGCAAAATTCAGTGACGCATTAAATTTAATTCTGGCCAGATAATTAATCAATAAAAACAGACAAAAAATACAGAAGATTTAGACAAAGTATTGTTTTTCTCTTCCTCAACAGTGTCTTGTGCAAAAACCGAGAAAAATTGGGGGATAGGCTGCAGTTGCACTCAAAACAGATCATTTGCCGCACTTTTGCACGGAAACGTTAGTCCTGGACGACAAAATATCTCCAAAATTCAGTGACGCATTAAATTGAATTTTTGCCAGATTATTAATCATTAAAAATAGACAAAAAAGACAGAAGATTTAGACAAATTTTTGTTTTTCTCTTCCTCAACAGTGTCTTGTGCAAAAACCGAGAAAAATTGGGGGATAGGCTGCAGTTGCAGGCCAAACAGGTCATTTACCGCACTTTTGCACGGAAACGTTAGTCCTGGACGACAAATATCTCCAAAATTCAGTGACGAATTAAATTGAATTCTAGCCAGATTATTAATCATTAAAAATAGACAAAAAAGACAGAAGATTTAGACAAAATATTGTTTTTCTCTTCCTCAACAGTGTCTTGTGCAAAAACCGAGAAAAATTGGGGGATAGGCTGCAGTTGCACTCCAAACAGATCATTTGCATCACAATTGCACAGAAATGTCAGTCCTGGACGACAAAATATCTCCAAAATTCAGTGACGCATTAAATTGAATTCTAGCCAGATTATTAATCATTAGAAATAGAAAAATAAGACAGAAGATTTTGACAAAATATTGTTTTTCTCTTCCTCAACAGTGTCTTGTGCAAAAACCGAGAAAAATTGGGGGATAGGCTGCAGTTGCCGCACTTTTGCACAGAAACGTTAGTCCTGGACGACAAAATATCTGCAAAATTCAGTGACGCATTAAATTTAATTCTGGCCAGATAATTAATCAATAAAAACAGACAAAAAATACAGAAGATTTAGACAAAGTATTGTTTTTCTCTTCCTCAACAGTGTCTTGTGCAAAAACCGAGAAAAATTGGGGGATAGGCTGCAGTTGCACTCAAAACAGATCATTTGCAGCACAATTGCACAGAAATGTTAGTCCTAGACGACAAAATATCTCCAAAATTCAGTGACGCATTAAATTGAATTCTGGCCAGATTATTAATCATTAGAAATAGACAAAAAAGACAGAAGATTTAGACAAAATATTGTTTTTCTCTTCCTCAACAGTGTCTTGTGCAAAAACCGAGAAAAATTGGGGGATAGGCTGCAGTTGCACTCAAAACAGATCATTTGCCGCACTTTTGCACGGAAACGTTAGTCCTGGACGACAAAATATCTGCAAAATTCAGTGACGCATTAAATTGAATTCTGGCCAGATAATTAATCAATAAAAACAGACAAAAAATACAGAAGATTTAGACAAAGTATTGTTTTTCTCTTCCTCAACAGTGTCTTGTGCAAAAACCGAGAAAAATTGGGGGATAGGCTGCAGTTGCACTCAAAACAGATCATTTGCAGCACAATTGCACAGAAATGTTAGTCCTAGACGACAAAATATCTCCAAAATTCAGTGACGCATTAAATTGAATTCTGGCCAGATTATTAATCATTAGAAATAGACAAAAAAGACAGAAGATTTAGACAAAATATTGTTTTTCTCTTCCTCAACAGTGTCTTGTGCAAAAACCGAGAAAAATTGGGGGATAGGCTGCAGTTGCACTCAAAACAGATCATTTGCCGCACTTTTGCACGGAAACGTTAGTCCTGGACGACAAAATATCTCCAAAATTCAATGACGCATTAAATTGAATTCTTGCCAGATTATTAATCATTAAAAAATAGACAAAAAAAGACAGAAGATTTAGACAAAATATTGTTTTTCTCTTCCTCAACAGTGTCTTGTGCAAAAACCGAGAAAAATTGGGGGATAGGCTGCAGTTGCACTCCAAACAGATCATTTGCCTCACTTTTGCACAGAAATGTTAGTCCTGGACGACAAAATATCTCCAAAATTCAGTGACGCATTAAACTGAATTCTGGGCAGATTATTAATCAATAAAAATAGAAAAAAAAGACAGAAGATTTAGACAAAATATTGTTTTTCTCTTCCTCAACAGTGTCTTGTGCAAAAACCGAGAAAAATTGGGGGATAGGCTGCAGTTGCACTCCAAACAGATCATTTGCCTCACTTTTGCACACAAACGATAGTCCTGGCCGACAAAATATCTGCAAAATTCAGTGACGCATTAAATTTAATTTTGGCCAGATTATTAATCAATAAAAACAGACAAAAAAGACAGAAGATTTAGACAAAGTATTGTTTTTCTCTTCCTCAACAGTGTCTTGTGCAAAAACCGAGAAAAATTGGGGGATAGGCTGCAGTTGCACTCAAAACAGATCATTTGCCGCACTTTTGCACGGAAACGTTAGTCCTGGACGACAAAATATCTCCAAAATTCAGTGACGCATTAAATTGAATTCTAGTCACATTGTTAATCATTAGAAATAGACAAAAAAAGGCAGAAGATTTAGACAAAATATTGTTTTTCTCTTCCTCAACAGTGTCTTGTGCAAAAACGGGGAAAAAATTGGGGGATAGGCTGCAGTTTCAGGCCAAACAGGTCATTTGCCGCACTTTTGCACAGAAACGTTAGTCCTGGACGACAAAATATCTCCAAAATTCAGTGACGAATTAAATAGAATTCTAGCCAGATTATTAATCATTAGAAATAGACAAAAAAGACAGAAGATTTAGACAAAATATTGTTTTTCTCTTCCTCAACAGTGTCTTGTGCAAAAACCGAGAAAAATTGGGGGATAGGCTGCAGTTGCCGCACTTTTGCACAGAAACGTTAGTCCTGGACGACAAAATATCTGCAAAATTCAGTGATGCATAAAATTGAATTCTAGCCAGATTATTAATCATTAGAAAAAGACAAAAGATTTGGAATGCGTTCTAGGGCCTTTAAGGCATCTTTTTAACCACTTTCTGGAATTTTCAATTTTTTGGCCAAATGTGAAAAAAAATGCAAGGGGTTAGCCTTACTTTTTTAGTCAAAATCAGCCAAAAATACTGACTTTTCTCAATATGCTGAACACGCTGCTGCACCGGAGGAAGATGCCTTTTACTGAGCAAGTGCCCCTTCTCCCCCCCCCCCCCCTCCCCAGTTTGAAAACCGTTCCGCCGCCGCGGAAACTTGTATTTCATGAGTTATCGTTCGCCCGTTTTGTTTCTGTTCACTATTTCGGCAGATTGTCAGTAGACTGTAACTTCAGGGCCAGGATAAGGAGATTTGTCTCCAAGTTGACAAACATTCTTCACGTTGATGACCACCATTTTTCCTCTCAATATTCAGTAGGCTTGTGTTACCAACAGTGGCGTAACCAAGGGTGGGCCTTGGTGGAATGTACCCCGCCTCCTCCCCCCACAAATTCCAAGTGCCCTCCCAGGTGACCCCCCCCCCCCCCCCCAAACAATTCCGAAATTTACCGCTTGAAAAGGAAGTGTCTTTTTTTTAGTATTTTTAGTTATTTAAATCGAAGAGGAATCTTCGAATTTTTTTTTTACTTCCCTTAGCCGTGAGTACAATTATTTTGTGAATACAATCATTATTGTGAATACAATTATTATTATCGAACCTTCTGACTATCGGACCTTCGGACCATTCAACCTTCGTACTAGTATTAAATGGATCCGCGGACATCCCAACAGATGGTAGTTCTGGGGGTACTTGCATTGTTGTCATTTTATCCCTTTTCTTTAGAATTTCACTTCTGTGGTACCGTTTTTCTAAGGGTGAGTAGCGGGGTAGCATTGTCCCCTAAATTTTCTTTGTATGAGTACCCCACAAGTACAGTTGAGTCTCGTTAAGGCCAAAAAAAAAACATATTCGGTCTCTGGTCAGACCAAAGTTACGGACTTGATGCAGCGACGCGGGTTTTTTTTTTGGAAGCTTGGATTGTACAGACAAGGTGGGTACTATTTTGCTTTTGTTGTGTCCTCATGTACATTGGGGACCTCCATAATTTGCCTTGGTGCCCTCCATCATTTGCCTTGGTGCTGACCAGAGACCGACTTATTTTTTTTTTAATTTTTTTTTTGGCCTAATAAAAACACGTTCGGACCTAGCGACATTGTTTGTTATATCAGAATTTTGTATTAAAGACAAGAGGAATATCAGTCCCATTCATTGTGTACATACATGCACAGTCGGGACCAAGGCTTTATGTTTTTGACAAAGGCATTCCTTGTTATTGTTCATCCACTGTTACTTGTACCTGGACTTGTGAATGGACTGGTCTTGTGACTGGTCTTGTGACTGGTCTTGTGACTGGACTTGTGACTGGACTTGTGACTGGACTTGTGACTGGACTTATGACTGGACTTGTGATGGACTTGTGACTGGACTTGTGACTGGACTTGTGACTGCACTTGTGATGGACTTGTGACTGCACTTGCGACCGACTTGTGACTGGACTTGACTTCAATTCTGTCTTTGATCAGTACAAGTTCTCAAGGAGTCGAACGCAACAGACATAACTAGATTCAAGAGGCATTCTTAAAATTTCTCACATATTCCCACTTTTATTCATCACTTTTTTTAAGATCTCTCAAATCAAGAAAGTATTTTCGAACTCTACAATATTGATTTCATGATTACCAAATTACAAAGAATATTCCCATCCGAGAAACATGGTTTATCCATCAACAAGAAATAAATAAAAACATACGTAAAAGCTGATAATAATCAAGGAATACTTAAACGTTGCCTACAGCACACTACCACAAAACAGTATTAAAAGCGACTTTCTGTATAGAAGTTTTTGAACACTCACTGAACTGAATCCAATTTCCCCCAAATTTTCTGAACAGTTTTACGAGTATTCCTGTTTTTATTTTTTTTTCTACTTTGGTACTAGACTAATAACATCTCTCATAATTTGTTCTTATTTAATCTATTACTATGATACAATAATTACAAATAGAAATTTGTTTTTGACCCAACACCTAAAATGCATATTTACTTTCTTCCAACAATTTGCAAACCCTCAGGTAAATGTACATGTTACTTTTAAATAACCTGTTGACCTCCGCTGAAAGAAAATACGAAACGAAAAACGTCAGAAAGTCTACAAAATAGCACAATTCCTTAAGCCTTAGTTTTGAAAATAAAGTTGCAGCACACAACAAAATCAGAGCCTGAATTTTTGAGCTCTTGTATTCTAAAAATATGGATTAAAATCCGGCCTATCAAGCAACAAAAGTGTGCCACATTGAAAGAACGTTTCATATTTTAATGAGGGAATATTCAATGTCTTTGCATAAAACATTACAAGTGCGTCAAAAAAAAAAGGACAAAAAAACGTTAACAATAAAAATGATTTTTTTTTCGTGGGTTGTTCATGATATGCAGATTCTGTGCATAAATTTTTCCCTTTTTTAGATACTATTGCTATTTTATTTTTATTTTTAAGATGACATGACTGGCAGTAGGATTTTGCATGTTTTTCTTGGAGAAGTGCATTGGGGGAAAAATTAACTGGCAGAATTCATGAAGAAGTAGTTTTCCGTGTCTTATTCCGACAAGTATCACGTCTGGATAATTTAGCGAAATGTTCACAAAGATCAGTTTTCAAGCTAATACTAAAGAAATTCATTTTAATTGCATTATTGACATTCCATTGTGGTATCCCAAATAGATACCAATCATGCATTACTTGTACAGGTTTTCTTTGGCACTTAAAACACTGCCACAAAAGTGCAGCATTCATTCACACTTACCTATTCATTAATTCAATAAAGTTTGTTGTAAAAATTACGGTCAATGCTGATTTTTTTTTATTCATAACAAGGGATCAGTTTGATCATAATGACAGAATTAGAGTGGTCATATTGCATTACATGGACTAAATAAGACGCCTTAATGACTGGGTTGAAAAAAATTCAAAAAATTGGAAAAGCCAAGTTTCAACTAAAGAATTCCTTCAGAAAACACATGGATTTTAAACAGTGCAAGAACTCTTCAGTTAGAAACCTTGTTTCCTTTGACCCAGTCTCAATTTTAAAACAAACATATCTGGGCATGTTTGTGAAAATCAAGCGTTTTTTTACTGAAAAAAAAGTTATACATTTAAGGCCTCTTCATACTGTCATCATGAACGCAATGTGAACGTGTGATGTCACAAGAACTCAAGCTGCAAATTTGTAATAAACATTTCAAAAATCAAGTAAATTTTTTCGGCGAATATCTGGCGACATCAAATTCCCTTTGCTATCACATGAAGCATAACAGGCCTTTTAGAAGCTTCCCCCCTTTTTTTTTTAAACATCCTTGGCATTTCAAGGGTTTTATCGGAAGAAATCTTTGTCAACATTATACGACTAGATGTACTACAATTCATAACAAATATTCAGCCAAAATGGAGAAAGTACTCCCAACTTCAATTTAATGTTGGGTTAAACAATTTTATATGAAATGTTATAACAAGCACCAAACTAAAATAGGAAATTTTTGCACATTATTTTGTTGCTGTTCATGTTCACTACGGCTTATGGGTTTTAAATATCAAGTGTCTGGAACCCTGACTCTTTCTTGAAAGAAAACTGTTGCAAACCATGCCCACGTCTGAATCACTTGAAACACACGTCTATGCGAAGTGGCTGCAGCCGTTTCTCATAGACCCATGTGTCATTGTAAGCCACAGCCAGGCAATTTGGAGTTTTGGACGCAGCCCTTGTCAGTATTGTCTGTTACTCTGCGTGGTACCCAAGCATGTTCATGTGCCTTATTTATGCTCTCACTTTTTAGGCACCAGACCACATTCCAAAATGGACCAAAAAGGACATTGTATAGGGTCTACTTTTTTTTTTTACACTACAATACAAAAAATGGTCCCATGTTTCAAAAAAGTTATTCAGTTTGCATATTTTTCAAGTTTTACAACTCGGATTCATGAATTCTGGGTCAATAAGAAATGGAAAGGAAAACAAATTATGTGCCAAAACTAAAACACTTTGCTGTGGAAGTTGCCATTACATGCATCGTTATTGTTTAAAACTGTACAATAATTTCATTTTTACATCATAATTTAATGCTCTTAACGACGTCTCCCAATCGGGAACACATCATTTTGAAAAAGAACCAAAAGAATTCTCAGTACACACACGCACACACATTTAATACACGGAATGGAAAAACAAGAGATTTAAAAAAAAGAAATTGCCATTTGTTTTCATAAACACATAATTCAAAACTGATTGATTTTTTTCTTCATACTATGTGTTGAATAAATATTGAAATAAACTACATTCTACAAAGATATTTACAAAAAAAGATATATTAGTAGGTATTTTCTCTATGCTAGTAGTACATCAGACACTAGATACATGGTTTTTTTTGTCGAGCACAGTTTTAAGTAGTAAAAAGAGAGTTTTAGCGAACAACTTCGCACTAGAACATGGACAAGATATCTTGCATTTTGCAGCATAGTTTTGTAAAATCAGGATGATTGATCGCGTGAATAAACGCCACTTATTCAACTCACAAAAAGACCCCAAATCATCCACTTTTTTTTATTCATGGATAAATTTCTCTCTTAATTTTTCAAGCAGCATTGACAACAACTTTTTACTAAAAACTGCAGCACTGGCTCTCAACGTTCACAAATCACTTTACAAATCCTTTCGCGAAAAACACGATCAAAAATTGGAACAAAAACATTTGCAGTTGACTTCTGCGTCTCGTAACAAAAATGACGGGATGTACATATTCGTCTCTCTCTCTACCACTACAATGTATTTGTACCCTTGTCTACATACGTGTGTACTCGACCATCATATCACTTAAAAAACACAGTCAACATGCTGAATCGACCCAAAATTTGTTTTACTGAAGTAAACTGCACAAAAAATTCAATGAAAAACACAATTTTCGAGGAACAAAAAAAACATTTACATAGTTCAAAAACTGTACAAATCGTTTAAATGTCGGTAAAAATTGTTAGGTCTGTCGCTGTTTCTCAATTCAAACTCGTGTAAGCAGTCTTTTCCGAGTTTGGGAAACTTTATTCAAATAAGGTTTCCTGTTTACGTAGTTGAGTTCATCTGCTGTCATTACAATAAAAACAGTCTACCCATCCCGAAATGCAAATGCTTATTTCGTTGCATTCCTTGGTTTCGTACTCTTGTTTTTTCCAACCTATTTTATTTTATTTTTCAAGGACATATTTACTCCCTGCCAGACCAAATTCTCCAGCACTATACCTTAACTAACCTGTATCTCATCAATGTGAGAGCAGCATCTCAAGACTGAAGCAATCCACCCCTCTGTGATTAATGGACTTGTCTATTTACAACAAGGAAAGGTGTGTGGCTGGAGCGGTGCATTGCTTCAGTTGGGGAAGGGAGGGGTGCAGCAATCGATTGAAACTCAAAAACATGACTGACATTGTGAAAGACACAAGATCCACATGCGGTAAATTTCAAAACTCTTTCGGAACTTTGGAACTCTGTGTTTGTTTATGCCAATGCTTTGCAGTACCTTCATCCACAGGTGTACAGAGTTTCCATAAATTAAAACTGTCCAATAGAAATCTAAATAGCAACTGAAAACAACCAATCAGTGCAACCTCAAATTGCATTTCGCCTAATTAGTGTGTTTTTAAACGGGTTTCCCCGTTTGGCTACAGATCCCGATACAAATTGCACAGTACACGTCGTATACAAAAAAAAAATTCAGTTACAATAAATAGAATTAGTCTTACAGCTAGGCTAGAGCGAAGTTAACAATGCACTGCAAAATCAGTGCAGACTCGAGTCATGAATCCACCCCTCTGAGACCAAAGTGGTGTCTTCCTTGATAGTAAGGTATAATGGGCTGATCCATTCTCCAGAGGTAGTTTATTCACACAAAACACTGCATATTTATTTGGTGGATTGCAGTATTTTGAATATCTTGCATTAGCGTTTTCTTGTCTCTATTTCAGGGGCAAAAAAAAAAAAAAAAAATGCACTACGTACATTAAACGTACGTCATAACCAAAAGGAACAAAGTTTCATACAAATTTTACCACCCGAAGATGAGTTGTGGCTTTTCTGATATGGAAACGTAAATTATAATAAAAGACCGGAAGTTCACTTTGTGATTGGGCAGGGATGTATGGCAGGCTCAATTTGCTTATAGCAGACAGAGTTGAGAGAAAAACAAGAGAGTCTATTTCTTAGTTAAATGACAAATTCGGCTGCGTATATGTATGGGAAGGTGTCTACAGAATAGTTCATGTTGAAACTGCAAGACATTTCCAATTCACGGGCCAACCACACAGGGCTGCTTAACAGAGAAATTTGGTAAACTGAAATTTCATGCTCAACACATTTGTATCAAGTTTGCAGCCTCAACAGTCTGATCAATGTGTATTTCTTCTTTAATATGGCTACATGGTAGCCATACATTGTATGTTCAGAAAAGGCATTTTTGCTTACAAATCCAGCTTAGATCTGAGCCAAAAACGTTAAGCAATGTTAAGCATGATATGCACATTACTAGCTTTGCACTTTTCCATAAGATATTTTCGTGCACACCAAGTGAACATACTTGAGACACACTAAGGGGTCATCCATAATTATCAACATTTTCAACTATGTAGAAAGCGTTCTCTTTTTGGCAGATCCCCCCCCCCCCTCCCTCCCTCTCTCTCTCTCTCTCTCTGGAAGAGTACTTTAAAAAATGTTGATTTTCAAAGATATCCTGGAACGTACAGTTCATTCATATCACCGCGATTAGTTATGGAATATTAGCGCCTTGAAGATAGGCCGCTTAGGCACACAAGGCGTTTGCAATACATGCACACATATGCAATTCATTGCTACAGAAAGTGGCGGCTGAAAAAGGCTGCATCGTGCATGTTTGTCACCGGCGTGTAGCACGAAGCTGAATGACAAATATGGCTGTAACCATGAATTATGAGCTTGTCCGGAGTTTGCCAAGTTGAGGTGTACGGATTTTATGAAAGATCTTCTGAAAGCCCATTACAAATACCGAACAGAAAATATTGATCCATTTTGTTACAAAATTTCAAAAGTGTAAATTTGGTGATAACCCCCACCCGCCGAGCATTCATGTACGTTTTGAAAATGTTGATAATTATTGGTGATTCCTAAGCAGACGGGAATTTGGTCAACAGAAAAAGTCAGCATTTTTGGCTACTTTCTGATCAAAAAGGTAAGAAATGGCACAATTTATAAGGGCCCTACTTACAGCAAAAAACATGGGTGGCTTTTCTAAAAAAAAAAAAAAAAATACAAATTACTGGTATACAAAAAAGTGAAATACATTAACTGGCTCAAATCTACATTTTGTTCTTTTTTTTGTTGTAACTTCTCTGAGCAAAAAAAAATCTCCCTCAAACTTAGCACCATCTTTGGCAAACAAAACTGTACAAGCCCCCACATAACACTTTTAACACCCCCGGAAAAAAGACAGTTGATCCTTCCTGTAGTAACATTTCACATACACAGTAGGTTTGTTCCTGTTTAGGGGTGATGCATAGCATCAATGTTTTTAACAAGAACAAACTTGTGTCACCAAAATTACTCTTTATAAAAAAAAAGAATCAACGATCATGTACATACAAAACATCAGTCGATTACAGTGGAACGCCGCTATAACGAACATTGTGGGATCCACAGAAATTGTTCGTAACAACGATCATTCGGTACAGCGATTTTCCCACATTAGTGGTGCCCTCTTTTGATTTTTGTTATTGTGTAGTTGCATACAAACCAAGCGCGGTGTCGCCAAATGTGTCCATTAATACTTTCAATTCTGTAGCACAGCTTCACCAAGTACGCCCTGGTAGTTACTGAGAGACGACTTCGAACACGTACGACTATTGCATCGTGTAATTACACAGTTTTTGAGCTTACATGGGTGGCTTTTTCCTACTATTCGTTGGGGAAATAATAGCCATTTGTCGCTCTTCTGTCGACATTTCCAACAACAATGTTCGGTACGTTTTGTACACAAAAATCGGGAGCCAAGGCTGATGTTCTTTATAGCTGAATGTTCGGTACAGCGATGTTCGGTATAGCGACGTTCCACTGTATTGGCATATTAACATAATCCTCTAAGTTTGCGTACTACCAAAAAAAAAAGCCAATTTGTAACCTAGATGGAAAAAATTGTTTGCTATACAATAATGCTGGGTTGAGCGCTCATTTATGTTCAACACTCAAACTCAAAAACAAATTGCAGCATTCGATTTTGGGAGATGGTTATACATAAATTACTAATGAATCACACAATATTGCTTTGTTGTACTACAAACACAAAGATATGGTAGTAATAAATACAAGATATAACACTTAAAAGGTGCATAGGGCTGGATCCAACATATGCCTCACACACGTACGGCAGGCCCGGTACCTAAAAAGGGGCGTGGACGGGACACAAAGCGTAAAGGGGCGGGGGAGGGGGAGGGGGTACTGGCTTACCCCGGATACCCGTTGGAGACAGTAGGGGGAGGAGTTTACTCCCAGGGTTGGGGGGTGGGTGGCAATTCAGAGGCACTGGCTACTGACGAGCTGTTAAACAGAAAAAAAACGAAAACAAAAAAAAACGAACATAAATGACTTTGTAATTCACAATGAAGATTAATCCTAATCCCCATGAGTGATTTACTAGGAGCCTTCGTCACTCCTGCAAAATCCAACAAATTCTACACCCAAACTGTTGGACTCTGATTCTGGTGGTATGCCTGACCCCATGTAAAGGATAATCAGTTTACTAGTAAAGCGTAATCAGTTTACTAGTGCAGTTCTCACTCCAACGGATTCCAACAATACTTCAGTTGCATTTTGAAGGGTTCGGGATGGATAGGTTAAAACACGTAATACATGTTGGACATAAGTAACCAAGTACACGATATAAATCCATTACTTGCTATCGCTGTATCCAATCAGGATACAGGAAGCAAGTTTCCCAACCAGGGGTTACTATTGGAAATGACTTTGAAAATAAAGTAAGCCCTGGGGGCAAGGTTGGAAAACCAATGATTTCAGACCAGTAAAATAAACTGCTATAGACCCCAGTGATAAAAGCCCCCCCCCCCCCCCCCTTCCAAAAATCTGGAGAAATACTCACAACTCTCGAGGAGTTGGAGACACATATCAAAATAAAGCTTATTTCATTATCTTTAATTTTCAGTTCAATTTTTGGGGGATAATCTGATAACTTTTCGGGGAAATTTCCTTCCAAAGACGATCATTCCTAAAACTGGTCCTGAAGCCCACCGCCATTGTCCATTGCCAATTGCATCCAAATTTCACAGAAATATGAGCTTGCAGTCCTCTGCACGGCTTTCCCCCTTCTTTTTTTGCAAACCCTCAAGTTCATGGCCCACAAAATGCCCAAATAGCAGAGAATTTGAGGGCATGCAAATCATGTTTTGGCAGATGTAGGCAATTTAGCCTGCAACTATTAACTGGCCTGCAACAATATGATTGATTAAACAGTGCCCTCAAGCAGCTAACTACAGACAGATCTCACATAACCACGTACATGAAATTTTAACACAAAAAACAGGGCTGTGCCTAAATAATTGACAATGGCTATCAGTCATACACGTGTCTATGGGAAGCGGCTTCAGCGGCTTCCATAGTCGCATGTGTAATTGCAAGCCGTAGCCAAGTAATAGGCCAGTTCAGTATTTCAACTGCGCAATGCGCACAATGATATATGGGTCACGGGTCATTAAGGATAATCAAACGCTCGTCGAAGGCGCATGACAGGAGACGTTCGCACGACACTCGCACGTTAATTACCAGCAGAAAGGGCGTTCTCAAACATCGCGTGACAATTTCATCCCGAAGGGCCTTTGACCTGGACTACTTCATCGAGATACTGAACTGGCTTATTTAGAGGTGGCCTGACAATGTGAATTTTTTGCTCGCTCGTTTCTTCTCACCTGGCAAAGCTCTTGAAGGCAGCAGATTGTGGATTTATACAAAGGGGGACGCTATTACCCTGGTGTCTGTCCGTGATGAATGTGTGTAGGGCCTCTGCAACATGACAAACAAAAAAGGGAATCATTTATCACCCACTCTGTGAAAATTAGCAACAAGTAACAGTGAGTTTCCTTGTAATATTATCCATGAACAGACACAAAGAAGGCTAACTTAACTTTTAACTTTCTGAAGCACTTTTAATGGGGTTTTTTTTTTTTTGGTTATTCAAAAAATAAAGAAAATATTAAACATATGTTAAAAGCTTGTTTTCTACAAGTCATTTCAAGTATTGTAAAAATGCATATATAGTGGAGTGCCGTGGCCTCGTGGTGTGGAGCATTGAATTTGTGGTCTGCGGGTAATTCTGCAGATTGTGGGTTCGAGTCCAGCCTGGGGTTGTGGTGCGCGTGCCCTTGGGCAAGGCACTTTGTCACTCATTGCTTCTCTCCACCCAGGAGTGAATGGGTACCTGTGAGGGCAGAGATGGTTATTGTGGTTGATTTAGCTGCTTTGCACCAAAATGGCAGCATGGAGCTGTATACTCCCCAGGGAGCTGAGATGGTATTTGGAATGTTTCATTGGCCCAAAGAGCGGGGTAATAATGACGTAGCAACTTGAGCACCAATACTAATGGATACATGCGCTCTATATGAAAACATACTATTGTTAAATAATGACAGGTTTGCGGAAACACCATGTGCGAATAATTTCTCAACTAAGAGAATGGTTCTGAAAAGAACCAGAGGTATAAACTCGACGTTCCGGTCAGTATGCTCTGACCGTCTTCAGGAGACTGTCTGACCGTCTCTCCTGAAGACGGTCAGAGCATACTGACCGGAACGTCGAGTTTATACCTCGAGTTTATACTTTGAACGTTTGAGTTTATACCTCAGTTCTTAACTGAGTTTATACCTCTGGTTCTTTTCAGAACCATTCTCTTAGTTGAGAAATTATTCGCACATGGTGTTTCCGCAAACCTGTCATTATTTAGTATCTCCACCATGCAAAGCCTCAAATCTTACATACTATTGTTATTGTAAAGGGTTCAAATTGTAGAGGATTCCATAGAAATTGAAGAAAAGTGCTTGTTCTAAATTCTTGTTCTGTACTAACTTCTGAGAACTCTGGCTATACCACATCTGAAGGATATTTTTTGCTTCAACATACAAGCAAACTATACATGTATCTGTTGTGTTTTTAAAAAAATTGGAAAACCATCAAATGCTTATATGCGCATGCACAGTTACAACAACAAACTGTCTGATTGGTTGGGACAACTGCAGCTAACAGCCAATCACAAGTAGTCTTTCATTTGCATACTGACCTTTGACCTCGTGTACACTGCACAACCCGTCTTCGAACTCGGAGCTGAACCGCTGCGGTGCCGCAGGCTCGAAGTCCGAGGTGTACTGCCGGCCGGCCGCCGTGTTGTGACAGCAGCGACACATGCAGGTGTGGTATCGTAACCGACCTTCCTCCAAGTAGGGGTGGGTCAACGCGTCCGTACAGGATATGCGTTTGTCCTGCGATTAAAAATAAATAAATACATAAAAAATATAATAGTTTATAAAGGCTTTATATTACTTCTCTGAGGATTTAATCTGCAATTCCTGTTGTTGTTTTTGGAACTTAATTCTTTGCATGGTTTTAAGACTGTTATCTCATCTTTTAATAATTATTTCAAAGTTTCGTGTTTTAGTCCAACAAAAAATACATGTTACTTTTTTATATGATTAAAATAACATTCCTTGAAATTGACTTGGTCACAACTCCGCACGGTTATCAGGATTGAGATCAGGAACTACAAAAAAACTTGCTGTGTCGCATTTCATCAATGCCGTTTGCATCGTTGCCTTCTGATAGACTTAATTTATTTTTTCAGGAAAAATGGTCAACTTACTGGATTGAAGACTAGCATCCTACTGAGTAGATGGACCGCTTCGTGGGTAGCCTGGGTGGACAGACTGTATAATGCTGACAGGCAAGGCTGTGGGTAGAAGGATGCACATAGGTTTATTAACAATGCTCTGGGTTTCAGGTTACACGCTTGGCTGCTACGGAGGTTATCAAAAACTAGCCTTCGACTCCAGATGTGATTTCGTCAGTGGCTTAATTAATTCAGAAGTTCTTATCCCTAACCACCCCAACCCTTCAAAATCCAACTGCATGTTTCGTTTGATTCTGTTGGAGTGAGGACTGCACTGATTATGCTTTACATACAGTCAGGCATACCACTGTAATCAGAGTCCAACAGTTTCAGTGTTGAGTTTACCACATGGTGTTGGATTTCGTAAGAGTGAGGAAGGCTCCTAGTAAATCACTCAAGGGGTTAGGGTTACATGTATATTCAAATAGGAATTTTGGACTCATACGCCTGTACTAGACGTCATGTTCTTGAAACAGAAAATTGAACTGGGGTTTCTGTTACATGTAAGTCAGAACCCTAAAAACTTGTGGAATTTGAAGACGGAGCAAAAGTTTATAAAAACCCTCTGTATGGCAAAAGCAAGGCTACACATGATGAAACACGTCGCAATGAATGGAAAACAACTTTAACTGACCAAAATAATTGGCAGTCATTAACAATTTGTTTGTGGTGTGCACGTGTCATTTCTGAAGGGCAGCCCCTTTCAGGACACAAAATTTGTAACTTTTCCTCATTAATTCTGTAAAACGAAGGCCACTAAAAAAAAAGTCGCAATGAATGGAAAACAACTTTAACTGGCCAAAATAATTGGCAGTCATTAACAATTTGTTTGTGGTGTGCACATGTCATTTCTGAAGGGCAGCCTCCTTTCAGAAAACAAATTTTGTAACTTTTCCTCATTAATTCAGTAAAACGGAGGCCACCAAAATGCCCACAATGCCATTGAATGCTCACTGTCCAATTATCTTAATGAGTCTCTGCTGCTCAAACAATTTTTCAATTTTTCATTTCTTGGCCGGAAGTTAGCTATTCACAATCTCTCTTGGAGGACGACAGCTTTAAGGAGTGTATCAGAATGATGGAATCATAGATAAGATGCATCAGGGACAGATTTCTAGAATGTCTCGTATTGAAAACGGTTGCCCGGAACAGGTCTGAACTTACAGGTTTATGCGGTGATCTTAGTAGATGTGCTTTGGCACCGTCGCATGCGTATTTCATGTCCTCCATGCTCGGTGTACCAAGGAGATCTGTGATCAGGTTTAACTGTAAAAAACAAATAAGCAGAAAATCAAATAATTAAAAATTAATCAGGAACACTTTCTAGAAGGCTAGGGTCTCTATTAGCTTCAAGCACAAACAAGAGAGGGCGCTTTTCCAGAACCAAGTTGTTGGGACACACCACATGAGCGTACTGTTTCGTGCGTATGTAGCACAAAGTACGCAAGATTAATTTTATTAATGTTCACAACACCAAAGCATCTTTGCATCAGGCGTCATCAGCAATGCGTTCGTATGTCTCCCCCAGTGGTCTCCCCCAACTCTCCCTTTCTGACCATTGAGGGGGTACTTGTGCATGGAGCTGATACCAAGATTGCTTTTAAGTTTTGTGTTCTTCGAGTTGATGCTGTTAAGTTGAATATCAATAGTCGACTGTGCAACCATTAAATACTGACTATTCAACAAATTGAACAGTCAATATTTTTTCAATATTTTTTTCATTTCTCATTTCTTGATAGACTTTGGTTTATTTGCTTGCATGCTTGTTTCAGTGATATCAAATTAACCAAAAAATATTTGAAGTTTCAAGACATTAATTCATCCCTAAAGTATGCAGTCGTTTAATTTACCATTTCTTTTGGCCTAAATATTCTCGTAAGCCATTTTATTACACAGAGTTAAATCACTTAGTAGCTCATCAACTGGAAATTTCAGACAACAAATAAATACAGACTAGCAGGAAATGAAATTAATTAAAGTGCAATTTCAGAACAGCGCTTTTAACGGCCCGATATGTTTGAAACACTAATACGATCCTCAATCACCGAGTCGACATGATAACTCTCCCAAGGCCCTGTGTATTATCAGATAATTGAGTTACGGCCCATAATAGTGCCAAGGCGGAACGGGGCCGGCCTTGATAAATCACTGTTTGGTTTGGCTGGATGTCATTGCCACATTCAAGTCATTAGGGTATTAAAGAGCAAAAATCAACAAGAGCTTTTTATTTTAAGGTTACTTGTTTCAAAAATTATAATAGCATTCACTGGCGTCAACGTTTACACATTAAACAAGCTCGATGGGAAATATCTCGGAAGCTGCGGGCCAACACAAATTCGTGTTCATCCATGAGTCACGTGATTGTGCCATGTAATTTCTGGAAGGAGTAGTGTTTTGAGTAAAAAAAAAATCAGGTTTTTGACACCAGCGACCCCATGATGACCTCTGACCCCAGTTTGGTCATGTGACATGTTGGGGCTGGGCTACTGATACTTTTGACCAAGTTTGGCTGAAATCGGTCAAAATATGTAGGAGCAATAGACAATGTCAACGTTTGTTTCTAACTCACAGACTAACAGAGAGACACGATGATTTGTTGAGCTGCTATCCCGCAGCTAAAAAATTGCGGAATTGTTTTTTCTAAAAATAAGCCATGTTGTCATAGCTTTATTTACATTATACTGAATATTCAGTTTCTTTAAAACTTTTTTAAACACTTGATAAATATTGAAGCACTTGATTTCTTTCAATGAGTAATTAGTTTTAGGCGTCAAACGTAAAATAACTGGGGTTTTTTTATAAGTGTTTTTCTTTTTAAATTGAGTTGGTTAAACACTTAGTAATGACAAAAATAAACTGTTGTTGGCTTCACATGTGTGGGGAAATCCATGTTCAGTACTGTTTTGTACGTTGGAAAATTAAAAAAAAAATTAAAAAAACTGAAATTAAAAATACATTGCATTCCCATCCGTTTGCTCAAATGTGACATTTACAAAGTCACTTGTTGAATCAGATCCGATGGCTGTGAAGATTTGGACACATTCGCAATTCCATTACGAGGAAAATAAAGTGCAAATTTTTTTCCCTAAGCTGGGGCTGGTCACTCGGGGGATCAGGTTACAGTCACAAAAATGCAACGATTTGAAAATGTGATTCGCTGACGCACGAGGGGAATGTTGGCTAAAAATAGTCTGGTCTGCATTTAAATATTTTTCAATTTCTCTTTCTTCTATTTCTCTCCAAATTTTCATGGATTTGCTGGAACTGGGCTCTGTTTCAACAAAAGAGGGTCGTTCTGGTATTTCTTGAATAAAAGATGTCCATGTGATTAAAGTCCTGTGGTATCGTTTCATCTCAATTTCAGTCTCATAAAACAGTGTCGTTTCCATAAACAATGTTGTTTTCAATCTAATTTCTGGAATTACAGTATCAGAGTTTGATTATTACTGTGAAAAAAACACACCTTAACTGACATTTTGTCCAATTCTAATGAGCAGTACTAGGCCTTCAAAAAGAATTCTATATCACTGGCGCTTACTGTGATGGTTCTTTCAAGAATTCATTTTTCTAATTTTGGACAAAATAAGAATTCATTTTCCTATTTTTGGACAAAATAATGAGTATCAACTTTAACACAAAATCCCTATCAGCTTTTCTCTAAGGACCCTGCTTAATTCCACAGAAGATCTTTTGTTTTGTGTTGATGGTCCACAAAACCAAACAAAAAAAGACCACTGTTTATTAAGGGCCCATGTCCATTAAATGCTATCCTTGAAGATGCACCTTTGTGTCCCTCATTTTCAATTTTCGTTTTGTCATTTTTAAGGGTATTTTGGCGCCTGTTTTTTTTATGCTAATGCAAATTTCCATATTCATGAGCAAACCTGTGGGTTTTTTTCTGGGCAGAAACCTCAATGTTACAGCTATTTCAGCACAAAAAAGTTGCTAGAATTTGGGATTTTTTGTCGTCATGAATGTTCTTTTCTTTGGTGATCCGTTGTGTCATAAATGGCAGTAACCCAATAGGCAACCCTTTCTCACAAATATTTCCAATGAGCAAATTTTGGGTTCACAAATTTGCACAGAAAACCCCTAAAAAACTGAACAGTGTCTTCCCGAAATGACATCATAGCAACAGCGCCCACAGTTGAACGGAAAAGCGTGGACATTTCTTTTACATGTTTAAAGAAGTGCACTTTTCAAAAAGGATGTCAAAAGATTTTTATACATTTAAGAGGAATAGAAAGTTGCACAAAATGTGGTCCTAAGAAAAATTCACTGCATGGACCCTTTCATTAGTTAAAGATTTGTTCGCCCCCTTTTCTCATCCTACCTGCGTGACCGGACTCTGGGCCTGAAACAGAATCCTCCTTCCCAGGAGCTCGGCAAAGATGCAGCCCACCGACCAGACATCGACTGACGACCCATAATGCTTGCTGCCCACCAGGATCTCCGGTGCGCGGTAGTACTGTGTGATGACCTCCTGGGTCATGTGTTTGTTGGTGTCTGGTTCCTCCAGGCGGGCCAGCCCAAAATCACAGATCTGTGGGAAAGAAATTTGGTTTGGGATTTTGTTTAGGTATTTGTGTCTGCGTCTATGTAAAGTTGCTTAAAATGAGCCAACGAAACCACATAGGAGTCTGAATTTGTGGAAAATTTCTTCCACAACTTAGGGTTCATTTTCTAGAATATTTTATGCATTTTACGATTTAAAACTTATATCAACGTTATTACATTAAAACAAATAAAATAATGTCCTCGATATATTATTTCCTTAAAACACTGTCAAATTTCTTCAAAAATCCATATCAGATATAAATTAGTTTCTAAAAATTTGTAAAGATTCTGTTCGAGCTGGATTTTTTTTCCTACACTCCTTTCAATTCAATTCAATTTCAATTTGATTTATTTATTAACCATCATGATTAAAAACATGAAATTCTACATCCTGTGCGTTAAAAACAGTTTAAGCACATACATGTAAGCAATGCTGCAAACCTGGGAAATAGCAAACGGGGATCACTCAGAGAGAATACGGCTCTTTATTACAAGTTTTCAAAGACATTGACAACTTGGGGAACCGCCAACATAGGGCTGGATAGCTCAGTTGGTAGAGCACCGGAACTGCAATCCGGAGGTCGCAGGTTCAAACCCTGCTCTCCAGTCAATTTCTTTGGTTAAACTTTGCAAAAAAATATTATAATGCACTTAGTCAGTGGTGCTCTGTAGTTAATTTGAAAATTAGAAATTTATTATATGAAGAAAAAAATACACTGAAGTGATGTCCTCATTCGACCCTTGACTACGGCAATCAAGATAATGGGGCACTTAAGCCAAGCAAGAGGTGAAGAGGTCACCAACCTTGAGTATGCAGTTACTGTTGACGAGAAGATTGCCAGGTTTGATGTCCCTGTGTAGAATACCTGCCGAGTGGAGATACTTCAGCCCTGGACCAGAAAATAGATAAAAACAACAGTCAAGACTGTCAACACGCATCACTGTGTTGCTTAAAGCTACAGTCCATCATTTGCAGCTATCCAAAAAGTAACAGACGTGATTAATGTTGAAAAGCTTACTTGGTTTAAAGATAGTAATGGCACTAAACTCCCTGTGAAATTATTCTTTCTGGCAAGCTGTCATTTTGAAGAAATCAATGAAAGAAGGCCTTCCAAGGATGCGTCTAAAGACACATCGTTGGAAATTCTGCTATACTTCTTTCCAGCAGCGAAAAGAAACATATGTGGCTGGAATGAGGACTAGTGCCCCAACGGCTCGATTTCTGAGGACTGAAATATTGTACCACAAAATTCCTTTGTGCCATTATTATAAAATAAAGTTGTGTGATCTTTAATATTCTGCTTTTTTATCTTTCCAAGTACTATCATTTTCGGGTAAACGCATTTTTTTTTCACATAGGGTGCTCTCTCTCAACAAGTACTCCTTTAAAACAAATCCAATATCTGCCATTGATTTCCTTGACCTCTATGTATCACTGGCTGTATGGTGACCCACAACGGAATGGCCTGGAACTGACCACAGCTCGACTGATTAGTGAGATATATTTTTATCTCTTTTCCCCAGGACGAGTTGGTGATATAAAAGGGATATTTTTTTTTAATCTTCTTTTATAAATAAATGCCAGGGTCACAAGGTCTCGCTAGGACTGAAATTTAATTTGATTCTGGAGAAGAAATACTGCTAGTCACTGCTTTTTGGTGGGGACTTTTTATGTACCTAAGCAGTGACGTAATATTATGGGGCTGCCAAGCATCGTTGAATGGAACATTCCATCTGCACCTCATGAAATTATTCTTTCCATTACACGAATGTGAAACATTCATTATTTGTGTTACACAACACCTGAATAAATCCTCGTCATCCGATTGTTCAGAGCCTCCAATCATGTGACCGTGCCATGGAACTCCTATTTACCATGGTATGGAACTTCTATTTTTGCAGTGCGGCAGGCCGTGGGTTGAGACAAATAAGTCAATGACATGTGATCAATGACCTACCAATCAAATGACGGGAATTTATTCAGGCGTTGTATAAAAGTTTAAAGGGAATGTACAACATTTTCTTTTACTGCAATTTTCAGAAATAAATGGATTTGGAGGATTAGTATGTTATAGCAAATATTGTTAAACTGACTTGCTTCATGTTTTGGGTTCACAGATTTTTGAAAATCCAAGAAAACCAACCATATTCTTGTAGTCTGGCTCCCTGACCCCACTTAAGATGAAACGGAGCAATTTATAGACTTTGGGAAATTGTTAGGTCAGAGAATCAGTCTAGCAGGCTTGTACCCCTTCACAGGTGTGTAATCAATTGCAAAGAAAATGCGGAATAACTAAATATGAAAAACTAGGAGCACTTTTTGAAAAAAAAACAGTTTTCTCCAACGATGGTCGGCCGACCAGCGCTGGAAAAATACAATTTTTCTTGAAAATGTCAGCACACCAGGAACCACGATTTTACAGGATGCTTTGGACTGTCAGGGCCTAACAACCCAGTAAGATATTTCGTGATAATTTGATCATTTCGTTTTTTGATGTTTGCAAATGTTGTATATTCCCTTTAACACAACAGAGACAACCCTCCATTTCTTTCAAATATTACAAGAAAGGTGTTTTGTTCAAAAGTAAGCTGTTCGTGTTCATACAAAAAACCCAAGTCTAAGAATATTTTGAGCGGCAAACCAGTCCTCTCTTTGTCACATTTATTTCCGAGAAACAATTTTCCACAGATAGTCCTCCAACAACTACGCATTAAGTATCCTGTGCCTCGTATAGACCACTTTATAGAGGTTTCAAATCACTGTGGAATACATACATTCGAGATCAAATGAATGGGTTAGTGTTACTAAATCCCCAGCCCATAAAAACAAAAAAAAATCTCAACGTCAAGATAACAAAAATCCTGCACGATGTCATTACACCCGAGGTATTGATTTGAATCAAGCCGCCAATTTAATACAAAAAAAAGAGGAGTGGGGAAAGAAATTCCATTATCCATTGACAAAAAATCCTACGGAAGGATTGGCGTCACTGCGGAATTTTCTGTCTTGCCTACCTCTTAGAATTTGATAGAGGAAGACCTTGACGTGGTCGGAGCTGAGGGATTGCGGTGACACGATGATCTTGTGAAGGTCGCTTTGCAGAAGCTCTGTCACTACGTATCTGATAGCGGGGAGTTCAGGAAATTTTCCAGCCATTTGATCAAAAAAAATAAAAATTCACTCTAAGATGCTTACAAATGTGACTTTTATTCTCTGAATGAGAAATTGTATTACTTTGTATGGAAAGTGGAGAAAATGCGGTTCACGAACTTCCATGGCCAATGCTGAGGACACAAAGGCCCAACAGACGTACTCAGTGGCGCACTTAGGATATGGCTTTACATTTTTACATTTTTTTTAGAAGTTTAATTTTTGCAAAAAATGTTGCCCAATATTTTTGGCCACAAAAAAAATCGGGGTGTTTTTTTTTCGGGGGCGGGCGGACTATTTTGGCATTGGTGGCGCCACTTACACCCCTATTATACTACTCGAAAATAGTCCACATACATGTACATATCACCAAGGTCAAATCATGGGACTAAAATAAAAAATTCCCAAAAACAAATAAAAAATACAAAAATTGACAATGTCTTGGGCCACTGGAGGTAATGCGTAGCTTGGCTCACTGCTACACAAGACAGAATTTGCAAACGTCAATTTTCAAACTTTTGTTCAATATCATCATTATATTTGCATAACACAAATGACTGTACTACCCTGCATTAAGCAAAATCAACAGCTAGTCTTGGCAGCATTTTGATGGCTGTAGGACAGCTGAGCCTGGTCATTTTGACTGAACATTGAAAGTAAAACAGCTTTTTTGTAATCCAGGATGGTTTATAGCCCATAAAAACATATGTGACCTATCATCATGAAAAGAGCTTAAAGTCGTACGTTGTCGTTTTGCGTTACAGTGCATGCAGTGGGGCTTTAAAGGGTGGTCGATTTTTGGTTTTAAGGGGAACCTTAAGTCCTGTTTTACCTTTCCCCGATTTTTTGGTTCCGTCAAACATCTTTAAAACCTATTTCGTCCCTGTTTTTAAGACTGTGCATTCACTGTAACACAACTGCCAGATTTTTAAATGCCATTTATCAGTTTTACCACTTCAAGTAAGTCGGTGGTCTATATTTCTGTTACTGAGCTCACTCAGCTCAGAACCCCTTATTGTTGTATTAGTACAGCCGATTGGTGATAAGATTGTTCAGTTTGATGATGAAGGCATGAAATTTGGCACACAGTCAGAGTATGTCATGGGAAAGATATTTGGCTATAGAGCCATTGCAGATTTGTCCTTTGAAAAAAATATCATAGGATAACAAGCAATTTTCAAAATTTTCCAAATGCGGCCATTGCATGTTATCCTATGATATTTTTTTTCAAAGTACAAATCTGCGGAGGCCCTATAGCCAAACATTTTCCCATTATATACTCTGACTGTGTGCCAAATTTCATACTTTTATCATCAGATGAACAATCTTATCACCAATCTGCTGTACTTATACAACAATAAGGGGTTCTGAGATCGGTAACGGAAATATAGACCACCGACTTACTTGAAATGGTAAAACTGATAAATGGCATTTAAAAATCTTCCAGTTGTGTTACAGTGAATGCACAGTCTTAAAAACAGGGACGAAATAGGTTTTAAAGATTTTTGACGGAACAAAAAAATTGGGGAAAGGTAAAACGGGACTTTTAGGTTCCCCTGAAAACCAAAAATCGACCACCCCTCATATTGTATCATATTGTGCGCCGATCTGCCTGACTATATAACATTGGAAAGCTCACTTGTTCAGCAGAATCCAGATATACAAATATCTCAATTCCTTAAGCTCATTGTGATGACAGGTCATATATGTAAACACCTATGTAGAGAGGTTGGTGATATGTGGAGTATTTGGTGGGTTAATACATCATAGTGTTGGATTTCGTTGGATTTAGGATGATTCCCTATCTACACAGCGGAGACGGGTTTATGATATATGGAGTATTTGTTGCAACTTGTAGAATAAAGAAATAAGCCAGATAATCAGATGTCACAGAATTCCCGCAAAAAAAAGTGATGTCTACTTCAATCTCATCCAACATCACTTTAGAGAAACGAAAGACTTGAGAGAGTATCACTTGTTCAATCTATCTTGACTCGTTGACTGAGCACTTCTCTAAGTAAATCATTTTAGTGCATTATGTCGCTGCTCTGTTAAACACGATACATGCATGCACACGAAAGCTAAGCCCTTTCTTGTGCATCTTCACCACTTCAAATCACATTTGCTTGAGGGGCGATTTTTAAGTTAAAACCTTACAATTTGCAATGTACGTACACGTACAATGGCTTTAAAACTGATACAAAATGGGGGGAAAAGCAGCACAATTTCTTGCTTCAATTGTGTAACTGTAACGACTTATAACATTATTTCATAATTTTTTTTATCTAACCATTTATCTTCTGAAATGCCAGAGGTATAAAAACAAACATCAAATTTTACCGAGCTGCTGGGTGGAGGGGTTATTAATACCTGCACACCAATAGGTCAGAATGGACAGTATGACAATATGTTTACATTATCTTGGCCTAATTAATTAAAACATGATTGACAAAAAAAAAAAAACCACACACAACAAAACCCACAAATAACATAGGACAGATTTTCCGAATATTTGTTCTCATTCTGCAGAGTCGGGGATCTGGCATGACGGCCGACGGACGACAACACACGAAAGAAAAAAACAGCACAGAATTAGGTGTATTTATTAAAAAGGTTTTTTTTGGAGGGAAATTTCACGGACGGTTGAAACAGAATCCTCCAGAAACCACTGAGAGCCGATGCAGCCGGGCAGGCGGGGGAGAGGAAAAAACAACTTAGCAGACAGATTGGGAAACTAAAAACCTGACCAAGACGACTTCAGACGTGGAAAAATCAATCAGAAATAATGGCTGTCTTATGTCGACTAAGGAGGAAGGCGGGTCAGAAAATAAGAGGGAACAAAAATTAAGTAGCAGAAATCGGACAAGTGTTTTGACATCAATTATATTCCTTCAATATTCAAACCCTGGGGGAGTGGGTGGGGTTAGGGAAGGAAGGGAGTGATTTTTAGTTTAGAGATCGATGAAATTCAAAGAACATTATCAACATCTTTTAAATTGTGGGGTTTTTTTTGGGAGGGGTGGGGGGGGGGAATTATCAATATCTGATTTCCAAAAGGTAGAATATTTCTAGTAATTTGTTCAGCCCACGGAATCAACAAAACCCTTCACACAGACATTTTAAAGGCACAAGTACTTACATACACAATCCACTGAAAGATTATTAAAATCCTGCAGTTTTGAAAGATGCTATTCCAGGCTTTCAATATTAAATGTAATTTGATGAATATTCTTTACCGTACTCTTTACATTTTTTCCCCTAGAAACTTCCTCAATTCTACGAAATCAAGCACTCAGGAATATAAGTGGGAAGTAAATAAAAAGAGGAAATTCCAAATTTTCCAAGGGTTCTTTTCCCTTCAATTTTTAATGGTATAAGCGTGATGTGAAAAACAAGGAAATCAGCCGATTCAAGAAAAAGTTGCACGCCTGAACACTGAGCAGGAAACCAAGGGAAAAATCTTGCATGTAGTTTATACAAACAGTGGTGCAGATAGGGGGAAAATTGGGGGGGGGGGGGGGAATTGTTCACTTTGAAGATAAAAGCATGAAATTCGGCACACAGTCAGAGTATGTTATGAAAAAGATGTTTGGCTATAGGGCCATCCCAGGTTTGTCTTTTGAAAAAAATATAGGTAGAATAACAAGCAATTTCCAAAAAAAAAATCAAAATGGCTGCCACTGCTTGTTATTCTACCTACTTTTTTCAAAGGACAAATCTGCGATGGCCCTATAGCCAAATATCTGTCTCAAGACATACTCTGACTGTGCGCCAAATGCCATGCTTGTATCATCAAATGAACAATCCCATCACCAATCTGCCGTAGCACTTTATACGTACTTCTAACATTTCTCATCACCACTACTCTATGGCGGCCACAGGCAGCGAAGCCGCCAACTCCGTAAAGCCGCGTACCCGGCACCCCGCAAAGTCGCCTACCCCGCAAAGTGGGCGAAGCAACACCTCGCGTATGTTGTTTGGATATTCCGTGGATGTACATATGCACTTTGTTTTTGAAAGGATACATTTCTTCAAAGAAATCTAGATGAGGAGGTTGAAGTATGTCCAGAGCACGGAGAACCTGTCGAGGAAGAAAAAAATCAAACTGATCAATGGGAATTTAATTCCTAAAAACAGGCCTTGTTTCCTAAAGTTTTGTTTCTTTTTGCCGTTGTTGCGTTTTAATCCTATCTCAGACTGAGTATTCAAATTGCATTTTTCTGTTAACCAGTTAACCCCGGAGGATGTGTTAATGTGATCTGGCATTGTATATTCACAGTTGCGGATGACAGCTTATTCGTCAAGCTTTCTCCCAATCGCCTGTGGTGGGCGTCAATGTATACATACACTTCATTGTTCCAATTGTTTTTTTGTACACATCGTATTTGAAGTTCAACTTGGCGTCATAGCAAATACTCCATGGCAGGGCTTCGGAATGTTGCAAAATATGAAGTAACGATGAGAAGTATCGTACAAATATTGTGCAAATGACTCATGAGTCAGTTTTTGTGGTGTTTGACTTAATTTTCAAATTTGGCCGATTTATCTTGTCTTTTTTTCAAATAATGGGGTTTTTTTTGTACTATAGCCAAAAATAATCCTGGTGGCAAGTGGGTAAATACATGCATGCTGTATAGCAACTCAGATTTTGAACTTTGTTGATGCAAACCGAAACTAAATAAATAGTCCTGCCATAAAAAAAAGCTTAAAGTGTGTGCTTTCGGTTGTTATTTGAATAAGCTCAAATTGGAAGATTATGCAGTGTCTGTTAGCTATCATCCCAACATGTGTACAAAAATTGATAGATTTCAATTGAAAAACAAATTCCCCTCCCCAAAAGAAGGGAAATATTTGTTTCAGTTTATCTATCCCGTGCAGACAGAAACAGATTTTAAGAGTCCACACTGCACACCGTGCATGTACACAGCCTGGGAAATGAATTATTCCAGCTGAAACACGGTCCGCATGTGCAGTAATCGGCGTTGTGTGCTCACAGCCTCAAACATACTACTGACCACAAAAAGCCACCCCCAGGGCCGACTACATTAACCACGCACGCTCACTGCCGTGCAGCTGCCAACAAAAATATACATTTTTAGCAGAAAAAAAAAATAATAAAATTGCATTTCATGGATGGACTGATGGATTGCAAATGCATTTCTGCATATTACAACACTATTGTGATATTTTGTGTACCCTGTTTTGTTTTTTACACTGAATGTAAGCCTTCCACCAATAATCCAACAAATTTTGAAATGAAATTCGAAAGGGGTTCACAAATCCGCAAAAAGAAATCCGCAAATTTCGAAATAAATTTGAGAGGTATCTTTGAATAGGCAATGATACACAGGCAGAAAACTCTTCAAGAGTTCATTCAAATATCACCTCAATGCTCCCCCCCCAAAAAAAAAAAATTAATCAATTTACACTGCACAGGCGCAAATTACTGTGTGTGAGTTTACTTCAATATATTTTATGAGTATATTTGTGTTTTTTAAAGTAACTGCACTGCACAGTATGCAATCACAGAAGAGAACAGAGGAAGGGGTGGGGGGGGGGGGTTGCATTCATTTGTGCATCACTGTATACATGTTTATACTCCATTCTTTAACAGAAGGTCAACATAACAATCTACACGCGTGTAAAATGAGACTGAAATATATGCACCATACTATAAACTTCCCCTCATATATTTCCCCATCCTGACATAATACCAGTATCACATCTTGCAGTCATTCATAAATTCAGGCGCTCAGAAATTCAAATGCACCTGAGATTGAATTGGATATTTCTTTGAAGGAAACACAAGTACCGGTAGGCATGCACGTATGTGTGCGGCCACATTTTCGAAGAATCAGGCTTTTCCGTTACGCACCGGCATGTGCAAAACTGAATCAGTAATGATCAATTGAAACGAATTCCAACACCCTTTTTTTTTTTACTGATTAAAAACACAACATGAATGAAGTGTTCTTGGAAACAAAATATTAGTTTCAAAGACGAAAAATATAAGTTTTAGGGAAAACTGATTGGAAGAAAAAAAAAGAGAGAAAAAGTAGAAACAATTTCATAGTACATGTACCTACATAAATGAGTCAGTTTCAATTCAACAGAATTCCAATCCTTTTTTTTTTTTAACTTAGAACATTGCAAAAAAATGCCACATTGGAAAGAGCATTTACTGTACCATAGCTGGCTACGTACTTGATGTTTTGGGGCCAGAAAATATTTGAGAAAATTTGGTTTTGAAAAAAAAAAAAAAAAGGAGACATTTTCTGAGTTACAAAGGTCTGCTTCAGGGTGCTTGGGGAAGAAAAGGAGTACATGCAATAAAAAAAAAACAATTTTGGTTTGAGAGCAACAACGGAAAACGTGGGAAAGTTTTAATGAATAAATCTTTAAAAATGTACAGGATTAGAATTTGTTGATTATGAGTGAGGGATAAGACAATAATAGTATTTTAAATGTATTTAGCCAATCAGAAGCATTTAAAGAAATCGTTTCAATTCAACTACAGGGTGGTGCAAAAAGAAGGAAAATTTAATGGCTTTGAATTTTGTCTATGACATATGAGCTTAAAAATTTCATGTGCCAAACCTGTTTGTCCACGGACGGCTTTATTCCATCCGCTTGACTGAGCTCAGGAGCTTGATTTGAAGACCAAAGAACAATACACTAGACTTACATGTGGACAACAGTGATTTTGGTGACTTGTATACAAATTAGCATAATAACACTATTCTTGCAATTTTTCTAAAGATTTTTTCACCATGTACATGGTTGAAGAGCTATACTTCACTGCATTTTATAAAAAATTAACAGTTCAAAAAAGTTGTACACATGTAGGTTAAAATTCTTGTCAAACGTGGGTATCCTCCTTTTTGTACCACCCTGTAGAATTACTTTCATATTAATCTCGGAGAGGGGGTGGGGGGGGGTGGCTATTGAAGAATCCTCTTGTGTTTTCCGGGTTAAGTCTATTTGATTTGCCGATCAATGCCGAGCGCACACGTGTACTCACGTTATCGTGATTAAAGAAAAAGAGCATCTTGAGTTCCCGATAGACTCGCTTGCATGAGATGAGGTTCTGGAAGACGTGAGGCATCTTCTTGAGAGCCACTCGCTTGCCATCCCGGGGATCCGTCACCGACCTGTGGACAAAAGCAAAGGGAGAGATACCGAAAAAAGAAGAAATTTAATAAATGGACAAAATTGGATCCAACTAAATGACTCTTCAAATATCAACTCTCAGCAATCCCTTATTGACTTGTAGAATATGGAAGGCCAAGAGAGAAAAAAAATGATTAAATTGGAGCTATGATTTGTCTACCTTTCTAAGTACTGTGTAATCAAAATTCAAATCAACAAGAGGGCAATTCCGTAAACTACACCGTACGTCCGACCACATGACACAATGCCTTTAAGGTGGTGGTGAATTTAAGTGTGGTCTGAAATTGTTTTTTTTTTTTCTCAATAGACGTCAAATATAAGTGATGTATCACATTCACTTTCCCAACAGCGCTCATTAAATCATCTGACATGTACGTCCGAATTTATGGAATTGCCAAAAATTAGAGTGCCTAATGTTTCAGAAAAATTCAGCGTAATATGTCAAACACTTTTATTTTTAACCCTTCAGATGTTCATATGTGAAGGGTTTTGAAGTGTTAATTGAGTCTTGTTTGTGCCACATGGCACTGCAAGAATCTGAATTGATTCTAAAGCTAAAACAACTTAATCAAAGTTCTCCCTGCCTTGGGTAGCACTAGATTTAGCTATACATTTCTCAAACATAAATCACGTGAAGTAGGGCTATGCATCAGAACCGGGTTACTCCAGTACCCGGCCACTGATGTCAGGAACCGGTTCCAGATTATGGAATCGGGTACCCGTAGCCAATTTTACAAATTACTTAACAACTTCCCAGACAATGAAAAAGAAATGTCATTGGTGGGAAGCTTTCAAAACGAAAACCAGCTTACATGGAAAAACATCGCAAAGTTGCAATTTTCACATTGAAGCTAAAGCTTCTCGCAATTGCTGCATTGACGGACAGATGTGGTAGTATTATTGTCCGGACCACTTAGGCACAATCTGAACAGCAACTTCCGAGATTTGAATTTTTGGGTTGGGTTCTTTGACAGGTACCCGTGTAATTTCTAATCAGGTACCGGTTCCCGCACTACCCCTAAATGCACACCCCTAATGTGAAGGCAACTAAAAATAAAAATAAAGGAAAAACCAAGTCTACTACATGTAGGAAAAAAATTGCATCTTGTCCACACAAATAACGTGCTCTGTATCGACCAAGGGTGCCGCTATCCTCCCTAAGGCGGGGAAAAAACTGCAGAAAATATTGCTTACACTAAAGATGAAAAAGTATCGGGGACTTAATTTCTCAGGAGACACTCGTGGTTGGATTTGAAAGCATTTCTCAGTAGTATTCTCAGTGCAATTTTTTTTGTCTTTTTTTTATTTTGAGGAGGGGAGCACAATTCTCAATCGGCACTACCCAGCTGCCATTTCCACCCTACTATTGCCAGAGGATGTTTATACATCACATGCAGGATAAGGTGATTAGGATGCAAAAACAGCGTGGATATTATACAATGTATGGATATTTTGGAGGTAAGCTTCTCAAACAGAATCTGTTATACACGGACCTGTACTCACTACAGGATATTACAAATTTTTCAATTCATTAAAAATTTATAAAAAGTTATTACGAAATGTTTGCTTCGACCTATAAGTATATGTAAGTTCAGGTATGTTCTGCATGAAATGTTTTATCAGACGAATATTTATTTTCCCAATGTCTTTTCTTGAGCATTTCAACGAAAAATAGATTGCTAATTTATTCAACCATCAAAGGTTTTTTCCTACAGCGGTGTGAAACACGCCGTGGGCTTGAGCTGCTTATGTTGGTGGGTTGGTTGGTGGGTGGGTGGGTGGGTTGGAGGGTTGGTTGGTTGGTGGACACTCTACTCTGCCGTATATTGTATTCATACAACTCAAGTATTACATTTGCATATTTTTGGTATATTTAGATCACGCCCCATTCCTTTTCGTTTCCTGTAATATACCCTACATACGGCCCGGGTGCACTGACGGTGCCGTATAGCCCTCTTCACACGTTACCCGGCCGCCGTTAGTTGTACCGCTTGGTACTTCTTTTTGAGTTTCTGATCACAAATTCACAATTAAATTTGGTTTGCTATCAATCTTAAATATACAATTTGGTCTTTGACACATTGGCTGAGCAAAAAATGCGTCAAACTTTAAAAAACATTTTTTCTTATATAGTTTTTCCCTCTTCCCATATTACAATACATGAACGTTGATCTAAACCCTCCAAGCATACATTATCATTCTGTGCCAAGTACCGGTAGACCTTTCACTCAAAATCAATCAAGTGACTGTTTTCAACAGTTTAAGAATTGCCAGCCAAACAGGGAAATCAAGCAGGATTCACTGGCTGTGACTGTTTACATACCGTTTGTAACTTGCTACAGCTTGTCTTTGACTGTGGGTAATTGATAAGCCAGCTGTGCTCACAACTTGCCTGCTTTGTCTGTATGGTCTGTTGACGGAATTTGACTAGTCACAGTGATTGCTTGACAAAAGATCTGACTGTTAAGTATAGCAGGGGAAGTGGATGGAAATTTTGACTGTCTGTGACTGTTTAAATAGCAGGAGGGTTGAATAACCAATGAAAGGACAAAGTTCTGATTGCTTCCCAGTCATGACTGTACTTGTACATGTGGATGATGTATCATTTCGCCACCATTAAAATATTTTTACAAGCTGTAAAAAGAATGACCCACATGTGCAAGTAACGTCCCAGTTTCCCTTCCAAAACATCCAAACAAACTGCCGTATACATGTCATCTACCTTCCAAATGGCCTAGTCATAACCGCAGGTCCACTGACAGGTTTTAAATATTCCGGATGCCGGAGAATTTGAAATGTTTCATCTTATGATCTGGGCTGGTATTACAATGATGTTGCCGGGGAATTTTGGAGTTAATTTGGTGCGTTTGCTCGTAGTCATGCCGGGGTTTAATCAGTCGGCGAGGCACGGGGGCCGGGCTGCAGCCAGCCTATAGACTTGACCCCGTGATGTAGGTCACGGTAATAACGCGGTGCGTCGAGCAGTCATCTATACACCGGGGCAGCTGACCCAGACCAGATAATGCTTTTGTGAGCGTGTAGTTACACAGTAGTTGCTCGTGGGTCGGGGAACACAGTCCAATAACTGCAGGACAATCTGCCAGAATCAGTGTATGATGATTATTGCCGATTTGATGCACACAGGCAAAGGCAAGAGTTGTCAAAAATACCAAAGTGTGCGTTGATATTGTAGCTACTTATTCAGGGGCAGGTTATTTTGGGGTATCCATTACAATGATTAATTGGGATAGGCACTTGGGCAAGGCATATGGGTTTAAACATGTGTTAATTGCCTTGCACTATTAGTGGGGGTTACTATGCTAACTTTGTCAAACGGTTGTAGCAGGAAAAACATAGAGTAGGCCTAAATGATAGTATGTGAATAGGTACCAGTATGTATTTCTTCTATCTTTAGGTGACTGCACAAACACCTAAACAATTACATGTAAATTACAACATGTGCCGTGTGGAAACTATTTACATAAATATCAATCAATCAGTTCGACTTTTTTTTAATCAATTTTCCGTGTTTATCTTCAACAATTGAATATCAATTTAGTCAATTACATGTGTGCATGTAAGTTAAATATTTGTCAGCATTATGTTTTATGTACTGTTGTTATTTGAATACATCATGATTACTGAAAATTAAACAATACAAATAAGAATATCTGGCTGTCTCACTAGATAAATTACAATTTCAGACACGTCTACACGTACCCGTCATGTTATGTACAATTCTTTTAAGTACAAGTATGCTGCATTATACGAGTATGCTTTCGGTACATGAACTAACACCTACATGTGCATGTACAACTGACTAATGTTGACACACTGCGCTTGACGTAGCATTATATTAGCCAACTGCTGCCCACACAAAATGTATCCAGCTATTTTAAGTTGCATGTTACATATGTTGGCAACTTTGCATGATTTGTCCACACACTGCATGTATACAGTTTGAGTCTAGACACATGTTCATGGTGAGAGAGATGGACCAGTTCATACTTTACATGAAGAAGGAGGGGCTCGGGGGGGCCTGGGGGGATGTGAAACAAATGTGACGTCATGAAACATTGGATGTGAAAATTCACCCGAGTTCAAATTGTGTTCAACTTTTGCGAATTCGCTGTGCGCCAACTTGCCATGACTTCACAAATTCACGTTCAAATTGTGTTTTCACGCTGAGTATGTTCATTTTTCTGGTTGTGTCGGAGCATGAGAAGCAGTCACATGAAATACACAAAGTGGCCTTAACCAGAAAAACAAAAACAAAATGGCAATGGCCTGAAAGAGTCTAAGCTGGGTGTGACTTTTTGTTTTAATAATAAGCAGCATGGGAAACTTCCTCATCGCCCCAGGGCAAACAAACAAACCCTCTCCAATCCAAGTTCAATATTGACACGCAATTGCTCTGTCTATTAGCACTTAGACTTGTTAACAAATGCCCCATTCTTCTTACATCTTGGTCTCACCACTCAACTCCCGTATTCATTTTAATAGAAAACACTGCTTAGCAAATTTTATGTGTTTAGTATAACCAGCTGAGAAACAGTCTCATGAGTAGGTGTGTTCGATTAGCTTACACCGTTAAATATGTAAGTAAAACGTACATCTGTACGTGAGAGCGTTCGATTAGCCATCACGTGATACTCGTGTCCGCCCTGGTGTCAACCACCACTGCCCCAGCTCGAAAGCGGGTCTCTGGTGGCTGCCTGGGTGTACATGTAATGACGTAACCCGACGATTTCGTGGCTAGCTAGATTGAAGATGCATAGCAGGAACTTGAATACGAATGAAGTACAACGGACAGATTTACATGTATGACACAAATACTCCCAATTATTTACAAAGTTCAATTGCATACAGACATATTTTTGATAATTCCGAGCACATGCATCTTCTGATTCCAGAAATTATTGATCTGGTTGCAATCATCATTATCATCATCATGATAAATTTAACTTAACCAGTGGAGCAG